AGCCTTTTCCTCCTCAGCCCAAAAGAAGCGAAGGAGTATGCAGATGCCAGGCCCAGGGGAAGGAGACCATTTCCCTTTCCATGAGAAAGGGATCAATGAACTAAAAATGTCTAGAAATGATAAAGCAAACACTAAGACCTGAATTGTTTTTATGAGCTCTCCCCCATCTCTTCCTCACTATAAAAGACCCTTGCTCACATGTGCACAGGGAGTTGGTGATTTGAGGCAAATGGGCCTCTTTGGCTCCTTGGAGCTCACTGTGGCTAAGTCACTGTTCTTTTCTTACCCAAATATGTATTCTCCTTTGATGTGGTCAGTGGCAGGCAAATGCACCTGAACATGAACCCAATTGGCTGTAACCTAACCAAGAGCTGTAGTGAGAGGGGGTTTATTGTGTGAGGCTGAGCTACTCTGGGGACCAGAGTTGAAGGAACAGCCATACTTCAGGGTCCCTGGAGAACTCAATTGCAGTGACTGGACAAGAGATGTCACAGAGAGGGGAATGGCTATATGCAGACTCCTTGAGAAAGACTTGAAACCATAGGCATAGGGCAAAAACTTTTGATTAGGACCCTTATGAAACAGGAAATAATGCCAAGAGTCAGCAAATGAGACTATATCAAATGAAAAAGCTTCTATACAGCAAGGGAAATAATCAAAAGAGTAAAGAGACAATCTACAGAATGAGAGAAAAATCTTGGTTAGCTATTCTTTCAATAAGGTTTGATGTATAGGATGTATAAGGAGCTGGAAAAAACTTAACATCAGAGCCAAAACAACACCAAAATAACCCAAACCAACAATCATCCAATCATTAATAGGCAAATGAATTGAAGAATCACCTCTTAGAATAAGTACAGGGGACAGAGAGATAACTTAGTAGAATAAGCACCTGCCTGGCCAGTGCAAGGTCCTGAGTTCAATCCCTAGTATCACCCCCCAAACAAAATAGAAGTACAAATGGCCAGTAAGTCTATGAAAAATTTTCAACAACTTTATCCATTAGAGAAATGCAAATCATGTAAATCATTCTATCTCACCCCATCCAGAATGGCTATCATTAGAAATATAGACAATAATATGCACTGGTGAAGATGTGGGGATAAGAATAATTTTTTACACTGATGGGGGGAGTGTAAATTAGTACCTCCACTGTGGAAATCAGTAGAGAGGCTCCTAAATATTAAAAATAGAGCTATTACTTGATCCATTGATATACTTCTTGGTATATATCCAAAGGAATATACTAGAGCATATTGTAGGGATACTGCATATCCATGTTAATTGTGGCACAGTTTACAATAGCCTAAGTACTCATCAACAGATGAATGGATGAAGAATACATAATTATGTAATATATACTATATGTAATTTGGCCATAAAGCAAGACAAAAGTATATCATTTGCAGGAAAATGGATGGAACTAGAGATTATCATGTAAGCAAAGTAAACTGGCCTGAAAAATAGTTGACTGTTTTCCCTAAAAAGGATGACGTAACATTAAAAGAGAGGATGTAAATATGGGGGAGGGTGGAGGGAGATGTGAGGGAGGGTGATGGAGTGGTAGATACATTAATATACATAATAATACCATACTGAAACCACGTATTTTGTAAAATTAATAGGCACTAATAAATACATTTTTTTAAAATAAAAATGGGCAAAGAACTGAGCAGACATTTTTCCAGCAAAGACATACAAATGAGCGTGAAGTCCATGTAAATTGGCTCAAAGTCATTTGTCAATAGATAGATGTAGATCAAAGCTGCACGGAGATACAACTTCACATGAACCACAGTGGTGGAAAAAAAGTAACAAAGGGGAACAAGTGTTGATGATGATGTGGAGAAATTAGGTGCCTTACAAATTTCCTGTGAGAACTGTAATAATGGTGCAGCCATTGTGGAAAACCATTCGCAATTCCTCAAAAACACACAGAATTATCATATGACCCAACGCATCTGTTCCTAGCTGTGTATCCAGACAAACTGAAAAATAAATACTTGTGTACAACTGTCACAGCATCACTATTCATGAGAACCAAAAGTTGAAAACAATCTCAATACACACTGATCAATAAATGGATAACTGAAATGTAATACATACGGATAATAAAATTATTCAACCAAGAAAAAGGAAAGAACTATTGCAACCTGAACCTTGCAAACATTGTGCTATGTCATAGAAACCTGACACACAGGTCATATATTATACATGATATCACCCAGATTAGGTAATCTATGAGGACATAAAGCAGATTGTGTTTACCAGGGGAAATGGGAGGCAACTATCTAGTAGACAAGGGTTTTCTTTTTGGGTGGTGAAATATTTTAGAATAGTTAATAGAGGTAGTGGTTGCATTAGGAGTGCACCAAATGGGGCTGGGGAGATGGCTCAGTAGAATAAGTGCTTGCCTGGCACGCACAGGGGCCTGAGTTCAATCCCCGGTAAAAACAACCAAGGAGTGAACCAAATGTCCCTCAATTGTATATTTTAAAAATATTTTATGTTACATGAATTTCATCCAAACAATAAAAGTTCAAGTGCTGATGGAGAAATGACTGATACCGGATTTCAACCGAGGAACCCCAACCTGAGGGGCACAGAGGCCTACAGATCACAGTGGGAGTGGACTACAGATGCTGAGAGGTACAAGCACAAGTGTCTTTGTGGATAACACCAAGACATAACATAGGTCTCTGCCTGTGATGAGCAAAAATATACATTTCAAAGTGCTGGCAAAAGGTAGACAGCCCTGCTCAGGGATCTCTCAGCCAGAAAGCCTTGGACATTTTTTTTAACTCAAAAATCTCAAAACCAGCTCACATGCACTGGCTTTATCTGTACTGCTGAACATCGCCACCTCCTGCTCCTCAAGGTACTCACATCTGCTTCCTGCAGAGTCAGTAACATAATGAGTGTCCACTTTTCCCTACACCACACTGTGTAATTACAGGCACACTGTGTGAATATGGAACTTAGTGTAAGCTAAGAAGTGCAGGGAAGTGACCCTGGGCCCAGACTCTGGAGCCAGGTTCTTGATCTCTAGCTCTGCAACACTGCACTGCTCTTGGGCCATGGAACAGCTTGCATCTGAAGCCAGCTATGCTAAGTGGTCTACCACCAACACCTCTGAACACTGTGTCACTGGTCCCCACAGACACAAACAAGAGTGTTTCTCTTTCTGTAGCCCTCCTCCCTCAACTATGTGGCTTAAGCGTTCTATCATTGACTGTGTGGCATGGGAACCTTGTTTATTTTAGAGAGCTGTTCCAAGAAATATTCATAGGAATGGGTAGAGGGAGAGGCATGTTAATATGATGGAGAAGGATTTTTGTTATGAGGACATTCAGAATAATATTAGAGGTGAGATCCTCCTTGTAGGTAGGTAAAAGTGAGGTAAAGATTCAAATCACCAGTCTCAGGTCAGATAGTGGCTTTCAATGAATGAGAGAATGCTTCTGCTTTCTGTATCTTCTATGTGTTTCCCAAAATTCTGTTCTTATTCCACTTTTATCCTTAGCTTCAGCTATTTTCTCTTTGCTACTGATTCACAAGTCTCCAAGTCCTAAATTTAGTCTACTCCTAGTCCTAAATTTCTAGCTGCTTTCAGAAACTCTCCTTATGGACATCAGCCTAATACCTTGAATTAGTAGGTCCAAAACTCAACTCACCTTCCTCCCCATGGCCCTCTCCATCCCAACCTGCAAGTTTCCTTGGCTGTCTTGTCTGCAGCATGAGTGATTTCCCACCATATTTCATATTGCCCTTCCTGCTTGAGTGATGCCCTCCTTGTCATTTATCACTATCCAGGTTTCTGTTTTATTTGTTCATAGTTTTTTCCACAAGAGCAAGAATTTTTGCCTACTTTGCTTCTGATGTAACTCCCAGAACTAGAACAGTGCAACCATTCAGTCTGGGCTTGCTCCGTATTTACTGGACGACCTCTTGAGTCCTCCATACCTTTGATTCCCATGGCCAATTAACATAGTTCCACATCTGTGGCATCTCTTGCTTCCTCTTGTGCTCTGGAAGGTTTGTTCAACTATCATGAAGTCTCAGAATTATTCAAGTACTTACCACATACTGGCTTATTATTTAACTTATCTTGGCTTTCATTCCTGGAGCTAAAATGGGGTTATTAATAATACAAGTACATACAATTGTCAGGAGACCTCTAAACATGGTACATGTACAGCACCCAGCCCAGCAGCTGAAATAAAATAAACACTCAGGAAATGCTACCCTCCCACACCAGCTCTGGGCTAGCTTTCGTGTCTGTCTTCTTGCTGAATGCCACACTTCAGCCCTACAGGACCATACATGGTTTCCCAAATGTGATAGGAACCTCCACATTCTCTATGTAACAGATGGCAGGGAACAAGGCTACAGCAGTTAATTGATTTGTCACTGCTAAACATTGTTGGACTAGACAACCACTCATTTGCATCACAGGAAGGACAAGCTGGACACCTGTTTTTAATCTTTATTCACACTTGGCAAAAGGTAGGAGGACTATTTCTGGCCTTCCTGTTTGAACCTAGAAATTCCAATGAATCTGAATCATTGGCCTTTAATATTTTAGGTAAGGATAGGGAGGCTCCAAATGGGTAACTGACCTCCATGAGATTTTACAGAAACATAATGCCTAAGAAGTGGAGGATTCACTTTTTAAATCTAAGTTCTCTTGGCACCACCACACTTTGGTCACAAATCTCAGGCAATCATAATTTACAACAGTTCATTTCCTGTGCCCTGAGAACACTTCCATCGTGGGTAGACCCAGGTAAAGTTGTTATTCCTTCACCATCTCGGACACTTAGCATTCTAAGTGGAGGGAAGGTGGCAGTACAAAAACACCACAGTGAACCCCTCTGTACCCCTCAGCAGGAACTGAGGAACTGGTAGCCCACTCACCAGCTGTGTCAGGTGATTTAGGATAAGCAGGCTGCACAGAATCAAGACAGTCAGCGAGGACGTGGGGCTGCACGGATATTTACCTGAGCCAAAGCAGAAGAGAAGTGGAAGAGCATAGATCAGCCAGGACATACTCTGGGAGATGCGGACTGGGGCCGGAGCACTTGAAGTAGTCAACATTGCTATCTACTGCCAATTGAAATTATTTCTTACTTCCCCTTCCTCTCAGAGGGGTGGTTGAAGAACTCCTCCCACGGCAGAAATTCAGTTATTGACTTTCAGTTTCATGAACAAGTTGCTCACAAGCGTACTTTGCATAATTAAAATTTTTCAACAATTTATTAAGATACAACATAATTTAACGTGTATACTTGAGAAAAATGTGTGTTCTGCTGTAGGGTGGAGCACTCTGCATGTCTATTAGATGCGTCTTGTTGGCAGTATCATTTCACTGTTCTACTTCTGATTTTCTTTTAGTTTTTGTCTTTTCCTTTCATCATATTTAACATGGCTTCAACATATTTGTCTGATAAATAAATTTCTTGGAGGCTGTTTGTGTCAATAATTTTTGTATGTCATGTGTGTGTCTGGGTGTAATTAGAAAAATTTTTAAATAAATTTTTTTTGAGAAAAAAAATCACTTCCACTTCTTGCTTTTGTGAATAGGCTCTGGACTGGGGCTGTCCTTCACCAGTTTGCTTGGCTATCTCTGAGTCTAGGGATTTGCACGTGGTTTGAGGGCATCTCCCAAAGGTTCATGTGCTGGAAGCTCTATGTCTGGATAAAAAATACTGGTGACTTAAGAGGACTAGTAGTGACACAGAAGAAGAAGATTGGTTGTGGAAATGTTGGGGAAGTAAGTGTATTAGTGGATTTCAAGGTCACCTTCCATTTCAGGAATTCAGGTAGAAGAAGCATGGGCTCAGCATGTTAGCATATTGGTGGTTATAAGCTATTGCGGTAAATAGGCACAAAGCCCAATCAGGAAGGGGAAAAGGGTACACAGGGCAAAGTCCAAAGGAAAACAGGGGCAGGCTCTCAAGAATCCTGTCTTAGTGGACTCACATATATGTGCTTAATTCCTTTGACAACACATTGGAAATACAGTCTATTGGGAAAGCTCATCCGAGCATAGGAGTCCAGAGCTTATACTCACAGTCATATAAGCATCCTCTGTCTACCATGTACCCAAATTTCAGAGTCAGAGAGAGAAAGCAGATATTCAGCATAAGCCAATTGTGTGGTTTATGCACAGTGTGAGTGACTCTTATAAGGGAATAAGGGGAGACCTCCAAAGTTTAAGTTCTGAGGCATTAGCCAAGTATGGACCAGCCTTAGAAGCATGTCTTGCAAAACGTAGCAGTCTTAAGACTATTTTAACTCTTTAGTGTTTTCTAAGAAGTAATATACTTTCCATACAGGCTGTATAATTGACATTTTTCTTCAGCATTCCCAACCAAAGATTTTACAGAATCGATTAAGGGAATTGATAGGTTCTGACCCTAGTATGAATTGCTGAATTATGATGGTCATCTAATATGGCTGAAGCTCTTAAAACAACAGCTCATCTTCCCAGAGACCACCTCCCCGCTTCTTCTACAACTCAGCCCAGGGTGCAGTTTCCTTTCACCTTCCCCGCTACCTCAGGGAAGGCCACAATCAGCTCCTCAGGTCTATCTAAACATCCCCTTCAAACCCCACCCCTGGCAACAGGCCATTAAAGCCTCAGCCTCCCTTTATTCCAATCCAGATAATCCCTCATCTCCTCCAGATTCTCTTCATATCCTCAAGGACAATAAAGCCCCTTTCCCTTTTCTTTCTGCCTGTTTCTTTGCTGCAAAACCATCAAAAACCTATCAGGAATAACCTAAGAAGTAAGTGTGGTTAAAGGATTAATACATTCTAGGTAATGCATTGAAAGGCTGCACGAAAAGTTTTATCTTCCATAGTTAATCCGAATAGTATATATGAAGCCCTTCCTACATTAGTTGCCAAGGGCCAGGCACTGTGAGTGCAAATGGAAAGAAAAACCAGATGGATTTGTCTTTTGGTATCGTTTAGAGAGAAGTGGAGAAGAGAAGAGATATTAACGAAGTAATAGCAAACATTTAAAGACAAAATTTGAAGCCTGGGTAGGGTGATGGCTTAGTCTTTATTTTTGTCCATTTGGGCTGTAGGCTTCTGCTGCAAACATGCTCTGCCAGGTCTTTGCCCAGGCCAAGAAGCATCCCAACTTGATCCTCCTTTTCCTGTTTATTGGAGCAGGAGGTACTGGAGCAGTACTGTATTTGACACGTCTGGCATTGTTCAATCTAGATGTCAGGTGGGACAGGAAGAATAACCCAGAATCCTGGAACAAACTGGGTCCCAAAGATCAATGCAAGTTCTTCACTGTGAATATAGATTATAGCAGACTGAAGAAAGAAGGTCCCGACTTTTAAGTGAAATGTTTCACTATAAAGCTGCTTAAAATGAAGGTCTTTCAGAAGCCATCTGCACAATTTTTCATTGGACCAGGAAATGCTTCTTGTTTAAATGCATAAAATCATGCTTATTTGCTTTTTTCATATTTTCAGAGATTTATTAATCGGTTTATTACACAGATTAATAAATCTCTGAAAATATGAAAAAAGACAAAATTTGAAAACTGCCATGAAGAAAAGATGTAGTTCAAAGAGAGCAAAATATGGGCATTGGCTATGGTCTGAAGGAACAGGGAAGACTTTCTCAGGAAATGACATTGGAGAGGAGCCCAGAGTGGGTACTAGCTTGGTGAAATTGTGTATTAGAAGGGATGCGAAGGTGCAGAAGGGGAGGTGAGGTATTTCAGGCACAGGAACGATCCTCAGGCAAATGTGTAGATTAAATGAAGTGAAATGTGCTCGACTTCAGAGAGCATTAGAAGAATACCACCACCATTTACAAATCTCCTCAAGTGGTTGCTCTATTGGCTTAGAGAATGCTTACACAGGAGTGCTAAAACTGGTGGCAGCAGTGAGTTTCATCCACACAGAAAGAGGATGCGGAGATGTAGCTGCAGAGCTGGGAGTCAAACGCATCTGGAAGTAGTAGCTAAGAACAGAGGACTCAGGCTTCTCTAATAAGTAGGCAGCAAATAAGGCACATTCCTCCCAGCTGATAGAAGCTTCCATTTGCTATCTCACATGCCACTTCGCAGCAAGTCACATTCTGCTCAGGGGTTCTGCAAGACATCTTGAAGCCTACCTCTATGTTTGTGGGAACCACAACCTCATTTCAAAGCCCAGACCCCACCTCACCAGAGTTTGGCTGAGCTGTGACCAGTTCTCCCACTATCCTAGAAGCTAGGTGCATAGAGGACAGCTGTGGGGACCTGATGAGCCCTGGCTTGCTCCCCCTCCTCTTGCCAGAGCTCAGGTAAGCTGCAGCTGTTTCTTACATCATCATATAAGGCAGGCAGTCCCAGGACAGCTAACAGGTCCTGCTGAGCCTAGTGAGACCCACTCCTCACCCCCTCACCATTGCCCCTTGCCAGAGCTTGGCAGAGCTGCTGCTGCATCTCCCACCATCGTAGAAGTCAGGTGGTTCAAGGACAGCTACAGGGCTACAGGGACCTGGTGAGGCCCCCACCCCTAGTCATCCAGGTGATGGTGTAGCTCTCCCACCATCACTTCCCCATAGCTCTGCTGCTGCTGCCTGTCCCACCAGTAGAGGGAGCCTTGGTGAGCCCTACCCTGCACAGCCCTACCATCAAGAGAGCCTTGCAGAGCTTCAACCCAACCTCATCATCATCAGATTCCTTTTTTGTTTTTATATATATTTTAAGGAAGGGTCTACAGGATGTTCAGGGTCTCACTACTAGATTGGACTAGGAGTGATCTGCCTGTTTACAGCCTCCCAAGAGCTGGGATTACAGGTGTGTGCCACCATGCCCAGTTTCAATTGCTGTCTCACCATACCCCTGGGGTGAGCCGGCATGTCAGGCCCAGGGATCGAACCCCCAGCCCCTGCGCCTGCTTGCAAGTGCTTTAATCCACTGAGCTATTTGGCTGGCCCCATCATCAGATTCTTCTTGAGCTGTGGCTTGGCCCCCTCATTGAGGGGGAAGCTACACTGAATCCACTGAGCGGGAGCTATGATGAGTCTATACTGCCTTTCCACTCCTGCGGAGCCTGGCTCAATCACATCCCTTGCCCCTGCCATCACTGCAGTCAGGGTGAACATGGGAAGCTTCAGAAATGTCAAAAAGGCAGGGAGATGGCTCAGTGAAATAAATGCTTCCCTGGCAAGCACAAAGGCCTGAGTTCAATCCCTGGTTCCACCAATAAATAAATAAATAAATAAATAAATAAATAAATAAATAAGTCAAAAAGAAGGAGAAAAAAATTTCAGACCTCCAGCCCACCCAAAACAAGTTCTATCTCCTGTTGACAAAGTCCAACACTCATTCCTGATAAAAACTCTACAGAAGGTCATTATAGATGGACTTTCCCTTAAACTGATAAAAGCCAACATCCAACATCCTACTAAATGGACAAAAATGGAAAGACTTCACTTTAAAATCAGGAACAAGACAAGGATGCCCGCTATTACCAATCCTTTTCAATATAGTTCTGGAAAAATCAGCCACAGCAATTAGACAAAAGAGAGAAAAAAAAGGAATAATGATTGGAAACTAAGAAGCAAAATTATTATTTGCACATGACATAATACTATACACAGAAGACCCCAAAAACTCCACTAAGAGACTTATAGGTTTAATAACCAAATTTGGTAGCATAACAAGATGCAAAATCAACACTCAGGTATCGATAGCATTTCTTTCTTTCTTTTTGCTCTGAATACCTTCAGGGTCGGTTTGGCTGGCCTGAGTTGTGGGGATCGAACCGCAGCAACCTGAGCCTGACTGCTTTGTTGAAGCAGCCACTTAAAGAACTGAGCTAAGGGGCAGGCCCCCCTTGAAGGATTTTTTTCAATAGCATTTCTATACACAAACAATGAACACATTAAAAGAGAAATTATGGAAACCACGCCTTTCAAAATAACACCTAAAAAATGAAATACTTAGGAATCAATCTCACAAAGGAAGTAAAAGATTTATAGAGTGAAATTTATAGGACTCTGAAAAAAGAGATTGAAGAGGATTTCAGAAAATGGTAAGCTATTCCTTG